CCTTGAAGTCAATAGAACTGGACCTGAAATGCTGGGCTTATATCTGGAATACTTTGTTTTATAAAGTTTTCATTTTGCAGTCTTCTCTTCATAAAGAAGCAGAGCAAAGATACGTAGCACATTTGATGAAGAATGAGGCTTTATAAACTTATTAGAGTATAACAATGAGCTACACATCTGTAACATTCATTTACCTTTTCATGAGCAATGTGCACTTGCTCGTGTCTGGTAGATATTTCTTCTCTAGCTCTTGATATTCTTTCTTGTTCTTTGGCTTTGTCTGTGGCAATTATTACTGTGGGTACTGGGACTTTCTCTGGTTCTTTTCTTACCTGGATGTTTACAAATAAAGAAATTTAAATATCTTCATTAAAAAATATAAAGTATGTGATTATTGATGTATTTGGCAAAGAGGATATAAACTAAAGGGAGGAAAAATGTCACTCTGGATTTCAAAATCATCTAGCCTGGAAACAACAATAACATGAACAGACTTTTTATAAAACATATATACATTTAGCATAAAAATAAAAAAAATATTCCACAAAAGCTTGCTTTGCTACTGAAAGCAGTTACAAAAGAAAAATTGGATCAGAGAAAAACTGTCCTGCATCATAATCAGTTTGAGAAAGTTCAGGATATTAAATCAAGTTTTAGGTAACTTTTGCTTTGCCAAGAAGTTCAGATGTAATCTGCAAATAGACATGCAATTTTTTGCCCAGGTGGCTTTCTTTTTTCTCAGTACTTTAAAGATAGGTTACACATTCTTTCTCATGTTTTTCAGTTAGAATGCAAATGTAATGTTTCTCTATAAAAGCTTCCAGTAAATCACATTTGTCTGATAAAACACATGGTAAAATAATCTGAATTCCAATTACTCATTAGTATTTTCAAAATCGATTTCAATGCAGAATGAGTTTGTCTCCTTTTTTGACCCAGTGTGCTGCCAACAAACAAAGCAGGCTCCGAGTGGCGAGCTTAGAAACAAAATCAGAAAAAAAAAAATGGAAAATTTAAGAGGTATTTCCTACATGTCACTCTTTAAATGATTGAGAGTACTATCTAGTAAATCACCATACAATCTATAAAAATTAGATTTTTTTCTAAGTTAATGTTTTGCAAGTTTATCACTTTCTTAGGTATTAATAATGGAAGTGAAAGAAAAAAAGGAAATACAGTCATCATCAAGGAGAGATAGGAGAATGATAGCAATGTAAACTAAAAGAGCGGACATATATAAAAGAAAAAGTAATATTATGGTATGTCATTTGTCTTGTTTGTAGGCTTGTCTTTTTTAAGAGATACTAGATTTTTGAACAAGGTAGGGTATGACAATCATAGGTAACATCTGTATTCACCTTTTCATGAGAGATGTGCCTTTGTTCTTGTGAAGTAACGACTCCTTCTCTAGTTCTCGATATTACTGTTTGTTTTGTGGCTTTATCACTGGTAACTACTACCGTTGCCTCCTTTCTCATCTGATTTTTATAGCAACAAATAAAAAACCAAAGCCTTAAAATCCATTTTAACAAATTGATCATCAAAAGAAGAGTAGAAAAAAATAAGAGAGGAATGCAAGTGAAGGAAAAATACTAAGGGGGAATTATTTTATTCACAGTGGAAGAATTATAAATTACATATTAGAGGAAAAACTTCATCAGTGTAAGATTAATGTTAGAGAATAAATAATGGGGGAGAATACAGGATCACTTTCATAGAAGGTATTCTTAAACTTAAAAACAGTTTAAGAATAATTAGTTCAGTCATGCTATAATGGAAAGCTATGGAATTAGGTGATCCACAAACATTCCTTTACAGTACAGATACTCTATACGAGTATGCATGCTTTTGCAGTGCACTGGGTAATATCTTGTTAATTCCTCACAGTGAATCATGCCTTGTTTGCATGTTGGATGAAGGGGTAAAGGGAAAATCATAGAATGTCTGTCCTCTATTTCTACCTGCTCCTGAACAGGTTGAACGTGGACTGCAGTCATTGCTGTCCTTTTAGCAGTTTGCTCTACAACACCTGGAGCTGGTTCTCTCACCATGGCTTGATCCACAGCAGCAACAACCGTAGCAACAGCTGCTGTTTTTTCACTGTCCTTTCTCACCTATATTAGTCACATCAAAAGACATTTTTCATGTTTTGCACACATTTAGAAGTACAAAACAAGTACAGAGACAGAATATGGCAAAGAAGCATTTACATATTTGCAGCAGAACTCTCTCAACAGCAGACACACACACATTTTTGTACACAGCCTCTCAGCTTCCATTTAGCAGATCTGTTCAGCTGTGGTGAGTCCACACACAGAGCAAAACCAATGCTTTTTCCAAAAATAGACTTTACCTCTCTAGCACCAGCCGCCACCTCACCAGCAGTAGCACCACTAATGGTAACTTGTTCTTGGACCCCATATCTCCCCTCCCATCTTTCTTCAGTTCTTATTTGGGTAGCGCTTGTAGATACTCTTGTTTCCTTCATCTGGGCTTCTGTGGTTGCAGCATATCCTTCCTGCTTCCAAGGAGGAAGGACTTCGGCCCCAGCTGCTGTCACTACATGTGTTTTACGTATTGGAGATGGAGATTTCACTGGTCTAATAGGTGAGGTGGAGATTCTTCCAGCAGGAGAAACCGACCTAATGAAAAAATAAAGTATTAATATAATTAATGTAGTGTCATCCAATGGCAACTATACAAACAACTTCAGCTTGAACTTGAATTCACTCCCCATTTAGAGTAACTTTAGTACTTTGTAGTTTGATTTTTAAAAAGTTTTTGAGGTGTTCTACTTGTAAATGACACTTTAAACATTATGCCTAATGTGTGTTTTTGTCGTACTCATAACTGTAGCACATCTCTGTAGTAGCTTAGTTACATTTCCCAAAAGAAATAAAGGCAAATGTCAAAGGGCATTTCACTCAGGCACATATATTTGAAATATAAAAATACATCCTTAGTTTCCATTTGCTCTATTTTAATTCTCCTAATAGGAATAATATAAAAGGTACAGGTCGTGATTATTACATATTGGGGCAGCCCCCTAGCAACAACATAACTGTATCTACACCTGCAACACATCTCATTTCCATGTGTCCTCCATACATGCATTCAGACGCCAGGCCAGCTTCTGATCAGGGCTTATATTTTTTTCCGTACTTATGGTTACGAATCCCAGCCACTATAACTAGGATCCACTTGGAAAGTGCCAGTTTCTAAATTTTGATATTCCAAAAATTCAACCCCAGTCCTAGGAGATAGTTTAAAGCACTTTTCAAAAAGCTTTAACAGGCTTTCTTTGAGAGGATTTTTTTTTTAATGTTGCATTTCCCAGGTAACATTAACAAGTTTCAGCAGTAGGGGGCAGCAGCAGCATATTAATTTTTAGGTTTATTTTCTAATGCGTAAGAACGTCTAAAAGCAGTTTGACTAGCAGAGGATTACAAACCATATACACTCTAGGTGGCACTATTGAATTATTCTTTCATCTGTGCTGTTTGGTTTTGCTAGTTACTATCAGTCCATTTCTTCCTGTCCTTGCAAGTCATTCTCAACGGGGCAAAATTCACCAGCACCCCTAGCTCTGGCAATTGGAATGGGGTTTTTCTGAGCACTCAGCTTGGAGACATTCCTTCCATGACGCTGGTGCTTTAGGATGCTGAAACTGCAGGACTCCCAAAGCAATTTTCTCTTTACCTGCTCTCAGCACAGATGTCCTGGGGTCTTCCCAGACCAAAAGCCCTGTTCTTCAAATCACTCACTTTCCCTCTCAAGACCATTTATGAAGCAGAGCTGAACTTCATTACCTTGCTTACCTTCAAAACATTGTTTCTGCAGTCTTTACCATCACACACATAGGACATGTGTTCATGGCTTTTTTACAAGTCCTTCCATTCTGTTTGCCACTCATCAGAGTGTCATTGCTCTTCATGGCTTTTTTACAAGTCCTTCCATTCTGTTTGTTTGCCACTCATCAGAGTGTCATTGCTCTATTCTCTGTTTGTCTAAAATAACCAAGGGCCAACTGCTCTACTGTTTTCTTCTCTTTCATCGTGAACTTGGAGCTTTGAGTGCTACTTCAGCTGTATGTAGAGCAATCAAATGGGATTTATTCTCTAAAGGATTTTCTTCCATATGGGATAGAAAATTTACATAAGAGATCCATTTCTACAGCAGCGGCAAATATAGCACATTATAGCACACAGTCAGAATAAACTCAAGTCAATATTAAGTCAGTGCATTCTTCCATTTTGTACTGTGCTTTCATTCTACAGCATCATTACTATATGTGAAAGTGATTCAAAAAGCAATCTTGTTTGAAAGAATAAATTTACCTTACTGGTGAGGGTGTTGGTGCTCTGACATGTCTTACAGGTGATGGTGATTGTCTAACAGGTGATGGTGATTGCTGTCGTGCCATTTGTGCTTTTGCAGCAATTATAGGTGGGGTTGGTGACTTTGATGTAGGTCTAGGAGGCATTCGTGGAGGTGCTTTGTGTGGGAGCTGTTGGGCTGTTGCACCTTCCATGACCATTTCAACACTTGTAAGTGATCTGGCATCAAAGTGGGTTTCAATCTTCTGCAATGAAATCAAGGAAACAAGTCTGAGCTACTGTAGAAGCAACCATCCACATTTTAGCCTTACCTGCTTTGTTTTTGAAAAATATACCTTTTCAATTCTGGCTTGTCTTGTTTGTGAAATCTGAGCAGTCGAAACAATTGTCTTTGTCTTTTTAGCAGGAACGGCTTCTTCCTCACCTTTTGGAAGAGAAAACATGGTCAGGAGAATTGCATATGGCAACAAACAATAAACAGTTGCAGAAATAAGTGCATGGTCAATTCCAATTATATACAAATGTTTATAAACAATAGAGAAAGAATTAAGCAACCATCTGTTTTTTTCTGCAGTATCTATAAACAGATAATTGTGAAAACAGTTGAAATAATAGTTCTGCATTACTATGTCATCAAAAAAAAATTCCAAACCAACCAAAACAAAACACATTTATTGTAAATTCTTCAGAATCAGCCTTGGATCTCAAATGACTACATAGTCTGGAAGCCTGACTGAGGTGAAATCCAAGCGAGACTGTTCTGGGTAGAATGATTCACGGCTACAATTCTCTTCTATTTAAGAACTCTCTTCATCCTTACAAGGTTTATTTACAAGAACATGTACAGTTGTGCAGTCTAATATATCTATTCTGTCAAAGCCATCTTACAAATACAACTTAGAGAAATATACAGAACAAAATGAGAACAACTGAAAGCATCCCACACTTTTTTCCATCTACTATATTCTCAGTTTAAAGACCACCCATTCTGGAGAAAAGATCCTTTTAAATTCTCAGACAAAAAATCTTGGCAAATTTCACCAAAGACACTGCTTTTTCACAGCAAGTTAATAACTCTTGAGAAAGAAGTTATAAATGAACTTATTGATATAACTTTGAAGTGTTGCATATTGTACCATTACAACAATAAATGCTCTCTTATTTTTAGGCAACTTTAACTCCATTACCTTGAATTAGCAATTCAGCTGTTGAAGTAGCACGTCCCACATTATTTGTCGCATTTACTGAATAGGTACCGGAGTCTTCAGGATATGCTTCTGCAATTATTAAGCTGTAAAGGTCTCCTTCATGTAAAATTTGAAAATCGGGGGAGCTTTGGATTTCTACTCCATCCCGATAGAACTTCACCACAGGTGTAGGGATTCCAGTCACTCTCACGTCAAGCCGAACTTGACTTCCCTGTCTTGCAGTCATGCTCTGTAGTCGTTGTGAGAAGTTGGGTGGTGCTGTTCCAGCTGCAGTTTTATTGAAGAAATAAATAGAAAAACAATAATGTCTGTTAAAAAAAGAACTGCAAGGGCTAGGTATTTTCATTACTAGAAGCACACAAGGTCTATTTCTCCTTCACGTGCTACTGACAGATGTTACTACCTTCTCAAACATTCAAAACATTAAGAGTTGATTTGCCAAGGTGCAAACACCCTTAACTTTCTTCATGTGTATAAAATTTCTGATATTTCTGATTATGCCCATGATTGAAAATGTTTCTAGAATTAGAGATACATTGATTATAACCATAGGTATTAAGTGCAGTCTCTTGGGTATGGCGCTTTATGTGAGTTATTCTGTTAAATATCATTTATATCATTAAATAGCATTAAGGCATCCATCCTGCAAAACTTTATCCTTTCTTTTATGTTTAGTTTGAATGTAGCCCGTGTGACAGATCACATGAGCAGAAGTACACAGGGCTAAGCCAAAAGTTTGTAATTGCGATTAAGAGTTTACAAGATCAAGATTAAACTTTATACAGTTAAGGTGTAAAGGACACTGTTAGAAATTACTGGTGAGAATACACGCTGAATTCTAACCTGCTTTAGGAAAAGGAATTTCCTGAATTTGTGTACTTCATATCCAAGCATTTTTCATTATCTGTGACACTTCTCCTATCACGCTATTTCTGACATTGCTAGCAGAGAGAGGTGCCTTTCTTTAGCTGCTTCATACCTGTGACAAGTAGCTCAGCAGTACTAGTTGCTTGCCCAGATCCATTGGTGGCTTGTACGGTGTATCTTCCACTGTTTGCTTCTGTCACGGAGGGGATCACCAGTTTAGCGCGGCCATCACTAAACGAGATCTGCACACCGGGCAGAGTTGCAGCAGAGAGAACCTGGCCATCCCGATACCAGCTCACCTCAGGAACTGGGAAACCTGAAGAAAAAAGGAAGAAAAAAGGATATTAAGGTGCTATGAAATGCCAGATATCCAAAATTACCGTAATAGTCACTCATGTTTACAGTTATAGCAGAGTGTAATGGCATATGGTATATGTCCAGTAACACAGTGGTAAAGGAGTTTCTTTTTAGAAAAGCCTTTAAAATATACAGAGCAATAGGACAACTGCACAGGTTACTGCATTTAGGAAATCACTTGAACAATGAGTGGACTGTAGTGTTTGGCAATACTGTTGAGGAAAAAAAGTTCATCATAATTATGAGGGGGATGAACTGATGCACGTCAGGTATTTTTTTATTTAGTTGCTAGTATCTAAGTAGTGTTGCTAGCAAAATTATCCAGTACAATAGTTGTCCTAACACTAAATGATTTAAGAAAATGAAGTAAAAGAAAAAGTGACTGTTATAGACATTAACATCAAGTCCCATTAATGTTTTGGGTTTTTTTTTTTTCTTTTTTTTCTGGGTGAATTCTGTTTGAGTTTGGTGGAAAACAGTCAGCTGGAATCAGCTGGTCTTTTGTTGTTCATATATATTATTCTTTTGTTGCCAGGGTCATGAGCAAGACTATGCTGGTCAGAAGAGTTTCATCTGTATCTACTGCTGGCTTTTTATCTTTAAATGGTGATTTTAGATTCCTAATGGAAATTCTCTTCCTAGTGTTCTACTCAACTGAAATCCATTTGATGAACAGGTAACAATTTTGTATCTCAGGTGGTTGCTAAGTTCTTCTTGGTACTCTTAGATTAACTGGGCTCTTCATGCTCAAATTGTAGCTCTATTAATACTTGTATATAAAACGGCAGTGTTGTCAGAGATAAACAGAAACTCTGAATTTCAAATTCACAGTAATTCATGACAGATAGGAAGGGCAGACGATGTAGCAGAATAAAGCTGTATAGTCCATTATTTATGCAATTAGTTCAAGAAATAAAACTTTCATGTTTTTTATGCATTAGAAAAATTAAATGCCAAGCCACTGTCAGATCTGTCAATCTTGGTGGATGCTTTTGGGGCAGGGAAGATATTCCAGAATCCCACAATGTGAATAAAAGCTAACAGGAGATTGTCTCACATGATATTTGGGACTAAAGAACAAATATGGTATATGCCACTAGAAAAACTGCTGTTTCTCTTAGTAAGAAATCAAGTTCCCCTCCCAAGTACTCCATGATAGCACACAAATGAAAATAGCCAAAATTACATATTGAATCATAATATTAGCATCCTAACTTGTTCTGATGATATATTTATATATTCATATTAATAATAACTATCAGTGGAAAGAAACTTTTCACAGAAAATTTAGAGTGTACAGACAAGAGAAGGTCAGGACAATTAAGTGAAGAGCAGAGGGCCAAATAACAGGATAAGGTATGAAAAAATATCGTGGATGTAGACTACAGGACATGTTCAAACACCTTGTGTGAACCTCGTGTGAGCCAGTGTTATCCAAAGGGGCCAAGGGATGAACCACAGTGGACCATAGATGTCAAGAGAGCTTTATAGTTGGACAGATCATGTGTTTGCACCTGTCACAGAGTATCTGGGCAGTGTTTTATGGTATGTGGATCATCACATTGCTAATGCCTGTAAGACAATATAATTCCATCAGCAGGAACATGTGTCATTTCTCCTTAGTCACTGCTGAGGTCAGAGGCACTCTTAGAACAGGGTGTTGGTTAGCTGGTAAAGTTATCTCGGGGGTTTGCATGGGGTTTTGCACAGAATAGGGTGTTGCAATAGTGTGTAGACTGGTCAAATGAAGTATGATTCAAAATTATATGGCATCTTTAAATTGCATCAACCAATTATATTAATACAGCCTTGTACTACCATCATGATCACCATACAGATCTACTATCTAGAAAACCAGGGTTTTCTACTCTCTTCAGTGACCACGTGGACCTAGATTTTGTGCTTTTAACCACCCTGCCAGAACTCTGGAATTAAGCAAACTCAAGGGCACAGAAGGTAGAAATATAGTTTAGCCAGACTAAGGCTTAGCATTACGTCAATGAAGAACTAGCATATGCCTTGCCTTTTGCACCTTGACTCCTTATTCTGTCTGACCATCATCCAAACAAGATTACTCTCTCTGCACCCATATGAAGTTCCCTTACCAGCACAGTATGTGTGTTTATGTATATACTTTTAATGCTATTCACCCCCAGTTTTGATGATTCTAACATACATGAGAATTAGGCACCAGCCTCATTGGCAGGATGATTGTCTATTGCCTGGGAAGCGTTGTTTGTGGATATCTGACAGCACCTCACAGTGCCGATCAGTACCATATGGTGTGGATATATATTCACATTTCAACACTGATATTAACCCATTCAGATCAGATTATGATCTGTGACAAGTGTTATTGTTTGTCTCAACATAAATATTAAAAAAAAAAAAAATCAATCTTGCAAGAATGAATTAAAACCTTACCACTAATGTGAGCCTCAAAGGTTGCGGCACTACCCTCCAGTGCCACAACACTTTGTAATGGCTGTGTAAATGTTGGTGCTTTTGTCGTCATCTTTACAGGCACTCTGAAAGCAACAAAAACATAATTAGATATCAATGGTGAAATTGTTATTATACACACATCTTTCTTGCTAGATTTTAGGAATATTTGTAATTACTTTCATAACAATTTACTCTTCCCAGTTTTAAATTATATTGACCTGAGGAAATGTGGAGACTGTAGGTTTTGACAAAGTTGTATAGCAAATTACATTTAGGGCACACTTGGCTGAGTTAGATGTGAAACTGTTATATTTAGTGAAGCTGTGATTTGACATTACAAGTATGCAGCAGGAGGCAAAGTTCTGCCTGACTCATTGCATGACCTTGTGCAGGTCATCTAGCCTCGATTTGTCCATTAATCTCCTTTACCTAAAGAGAAAATAAACTCCATGTAAAAATTTGTTTGAGTGATTTGAAAACTTTTTCTTGGTTCAAAACATTTGCATTCTCCAATGGGAAAACAGCTAGGTCAGTAAGTAGTAACTGAAAAAAATGTGAAGGTCTACAATCTATTTGGCTTTTAATAATTAAAGAAATGCCAGGAGGCTTTGTTTTAAAAGCAGTCTGTATGTAGTGAATAATTTCATTTTACACAGAAGCACATTGGCATTAAAGATGCAGATAAAATTCTACTCTTTCTTAGAGAGTATCTTGGTGGAATTTTGAATATGGGACGACAGCCACCTTTGAAATGTGAGCTAGGATATAAGGTAGCCACTGACACTGATGGTTTGAACAACTGCAGATCCATGTGAAATCTGAAAGAAAAATAGTTTGCTTTCTCTTCCTATGCCACAAGATCCTATGTTGCAATAGCACACTACCACTAGAAAAACTTCTGTATCAGGAGTATTTTATACTTGCATGAACAAATTTATTTACTGATGTTGAATTGTGCAGGTTTTTAAAATGTAGCCAGTATCCTCTTAATAGAATCATACATATATTAAAGTTACAATTTTTCTCATTAAAAAATTCCCCTGAGAGCATATCATGTCTCACTAAACAAGGGTTCACCCCATAATCTTTTCAAGTCAATCTCATTCACACATTTACTGTTGTTTACATTGGCTTTTGTGCCTGGTTTTGTGACAGTCCCAGGATTAACTTATAAGTTAATGAGAAAGTGAGTTTCTTTCACTATGAGCCAAATTTATGCTACCTTTCAAAGGGGTGAATTCTTCACGACATGAGTTCCTTCACTGAAATCAGTGCATGATGCTTACATACAATACGTGCATAAGAGCAGAACTGGATATTGTATTGGGTTTTGAGCTGCTTTTTATTGCATTTACTGGTTATCTGAATACTTGTTCCACCTTGACAGACGAACAGCTTTTTATCAAAGCTTTTCAGCTTCAAGGGTGGGAAGAAATGAGTTCAAGTGAGAAAGAAATTACCAACATTCCAACCTAACACTAGTTTTATGAAAGGCAGATGAAGACAAATGTCTGTCATATGTGATTCACTAGGATCAACACTAGTTTTATGAAAGGCAGATGAAGACAAAGACAAAGAAGGATTTACTTCAGTTATAACTATGTTTTGAAGCTCAGCTAAGATGTATGGAAATAATCTTAACAATATAATTAAACATTATGAAAGCTTATATATATATGTAATTTCCTGTCGTCCAGAATAGATGGGAAATCACTTAATTAAGTAGAATTGTCATTGAGTTCACACAAAGTTTATATATTTCATTGTCTAGGCAAATTTCTGTGATGAAGATCTGATCTTATAAGGCTTTTTGTATAATTAGAATTGAAAGTATGCATCTGAAATGTCATGTTCCAGAAATAACCTTCCCAGCCCTGAATGACAGCAGACAAGTGTTCCAGAGCTGCCATGTAATTGATACCTTAGCAGTTGATTCCCTTAAAAAGTCATCAGCGCTTAGCTGATACCATATGCATTTTATCAGAGCTATTCTTGGAGCTTCTCAGTTTATCTCTCAGTAACATAACCTTGAACACTCCCAACAGAAAGGAGTTTTTAAGTGAAGCAGATGTTTCCACGCACTTTGCAAATATTAATTTTTATAGTCTTTAAGTCTGGAGAAACTTTTCTCTGTGTTATTAAAATTTACTCCCAGAAATTTGAAACATAATCTGGCCAGACAGCTTAAGCGCTTCGTGTCTATACTCAGAAAACCATGCCCCCTGTGAGCAAATTTATAAATAATAGATCATATCAGGATTATTAAAGACTAATAAAATACTCATTACGCGAGCAGAAACATGCTACTAACCTGATCTCTCAAAGTGCCTGTAAGAGTGGGCTAAGCCCAACGAAATCTCCTTGAACGACGTCCTTATCCAGAGTAAGATTTTTTTAGACAATCCCAGCATGAGAATTGTAGAGCCTCTAATCATAAAAACAAAACTACACAGTCTTGACAGTGTAGTTTTGTTTTTTTGCAATCCCTACACCCGAGGCGAGGCGGGGAATGCACGACTGCTCAGAAGTGCTAACATAGTTGTTTTGCTTTATATACCCCAGCTCTGCTGACAGGTCTGCCTCATCATGCCAGTGCCCCTCCTGATTGGTTTCCTAAAAGAAAGTATCTTGTGAGAGGGGATCCACTCTGTGTAACCATACACCACCTGTTGGTTTGATTGACAACACTAATTTTGGAAGCACAAAAGGGATTCACTCAGGAAACATCATCTGCCCCAAAGATTCTGATTTGTAATGAAATTTTGCTTATAATGTGCAGTTTACAAGCTGTTACAAACTTCCTAGAGTCATAAGCACAAGATGAAGAAAGTAATGAAGAAACATTTTAGCAGAGGATACGGACAAGTCAGAAGTAATCATACCAGTGAAATTCAGCCTTACTTTCTTTCATTATAAAACATTGAAGAAGCTACCAAATGCATGTGTCAATCACCAGACTAAATAAGTAAGCTGAGCTCAGACATGTGGCTGCACACTATTAGAATGTACTGTTTAAGTTATTTTTTTTCCATAACTTTGAATACTAATATTGTATTTGGTAATATATAGATTTGGTTTTCTGGGGTTTTTTTGTTATCTTCAGAATTTTCCTGTTGGATGTTCCAAATTAAGCTTAAAAACCAATAGCATACAAAGTGCAGAAATATAAATTATGTGAAAGTAAATTAACACAGACAACTACTATAATTTCTGAAAAAAAGAAGCAGATTTTAAATCTAATGTCTTTTTTCTGGACCTGTGGAGGCCTTGCGCAGACCACAGAGCTAATCATCTCTGGAACAGCATATTAGTTTGTGAGCTTCCACTAGCCCAGCTTCATCAGTCTATGCAGCTAATTGTACCGTTAGACTGGTTGCCTCCAAAACAGAGGTCAGGGTTCGAAGACTACTTTCGCCTGTAGCTGGAATGGAAGGTGTTTTGCCACAACACCATATCTGCCTGTTTCCATTGTTGCCTTCTTATTCAAAAATCCTTTTCCTTCCCTATGAAGTGGAATGTATATGTAATGCATATCTAAAAAACCCTTTAAGCACATAACTGGCTCATAAAACCGCTGATGTGCTTAACTGCTCTGGTAAATGGAGGACTTCAGGCTGCTGTTACCAAGGTCCACATTGAAAAGGATCTCCCAGAGGATACCTAGAGAAGTAAACACAGGCTGGAGTTTCTCACTATCAGCTGCGCTTGTGTTTGAAAACAACCTGAAGGAAACCTCTGGCAGGAGCTCCAGAAAACGTCAAGGAGCGAGAATACCACTGCTATGATTCCTTCAAGGGGTTATTACACTACTGTTTGCAGATCTGAAAGAAACACGAAAGGACACATTGCTGTGGTCTCATAAGATGACTTCAGAAATTTGTTCTGCCCTTTAATTTATCTGTTCCATAGGGTGTCATCTTTACAGCTACTCCTGGCATGCAGCAGTAACAACAACAGAAACTGGAGGAATAGTCTCTACACTGGTACTATCTGGACTGTCACAGAGGTTGAAAGTCAGCGTACTATGGCTCATTTTTAACTTTTTGTTGCAAATAGATGTCAGAGAGCCTAATATCTCTGTATAAGACTCAGTATGATAACAAATGCAACTCCCACTCATTAGTGGGAAGGAGTCATTAGTGGGAAGGACAAGATAGCTTCTACTAAAAGACAAAAAATGTCCAAATAGATCTATGTAAGGGGTACCCAACATCTGTTTCTAAATAGTGACTTGCTAAATTAGCAGATGTCCATTTTTCTCTGTAGTAGAACACTGAAATATTCAGTGAAAAATCAAACTTGGAGAAAGAACACAGGCTAGTATCTGCAGACTTAATAAATGCAGCCACATTAATGTCAATCTCTAAGTCAAATAATGAAAAAGTTTATGAACATGTAAACATTTCTAAAAGACAGAAATGTGGAAACTGTTGCTTTTGGAGTTATGAGATGGACAGAAGCTCAAATTTTTCTGTTTCAATCAAGTCAACAATAACTGATTACAATAATTGAAAGTTACAAGGAAAAAAATTTCCTGCATTTAAATACATAAACCAAATATATTGCATTTTTAAAATAAGTTCCTTCCCATTTGGTTTTTTTTTGAAGTTTTACATTTGCTTTTGATCAATGTTAAATCTATTTCCATTCCAAAAAAAGTTTGTACCTTCTCAACTTCTTACTTTTGCTGGTGAATTCAGAAATGAAATCAAACAGTGAAATATTTCTCTCATGCTCTCAAGGAAATACAAATTGCTTACTTAGCATGCCTTCTCTTAACAGAACGACTATCAGCCCAGTGTGATTTCTACACATTTAGTGTCACACAGTGTATCCACAATAAAAAGCAGAAAGATGACTTCAGTCTCACTACTGCGTAGCAAAAACACTGCTGGTAAAAACAACATTATTTCTTTGTTCCAGGATCAAACAAAAGTCAGATCCAGATAATGACAAAGGCTTTTTTTTTCAGGCAGACATACAAATTGGGGATTGTCATGAAAATTCCAGCATTTGCTTCAGTGTGCTACTGTTTTGAGTATAAACTATATATTGCCAATGTAACTATAG